GTCGGTGCTGAGGACAGCAGGCCCCAGCCCACGGGTTGCCGCGAGGACCCGGTGACTCAGTGCTCGGAGAGCACCAGGGAGAACGCCTGGCTCTAGGGATGCAGGAACTGAGCCATTGCTGTCTTGTTGACATTTCAAACACTCTGCTCTGGGTCCAGGAAGCAGCAAAACAGCCCGGTCCGGGCGCTCAAGGGTAGGTCCGCAGCTGCTCGGTGAGTCGGCCCTTGGTGGCCGGACGGGTAGAGGTGGTCACCTGCGAGGAACAGTGAAGGCGGAGCCCTGGGAAGGCTGGATGTGGGAGGAGGGTTGGGGGGACAGGGCCCGAGGTGAGCCCCAGGATTTGGCAGCGCATTGGGGAATGTGCCATTTTCTGACATGGGAACTGTTGTGAAAGCAACGGGAGCAGTCGGGGACCGCTTAGAGAAGCCACTTGGCTGTTTCTCAGAGGCAACTGAATGGTATGGCTTGGGCGTGCGGGGAAGTGGAGCCAGAGACATAGATGTTAACATTTGGATTGTGTGCACATGCTAGTAGGGTTCCGTGGTGGTGGTGTTCGACCATCAGATGCAGAGTGAAGAGCCCCTGGCCCTGCACCGAATCCCCACAAATGGCAGGCCCTGTCCTGGAGTCAACTCATGTCACCAGTCCCTCAGGGTGATGTTAATCTGTGGGTCATCGGGACCCAGGTGGTAAAGAAAAGATCCGCAGATGGAGAACAGAGGAGACCATACAAAAGCGTTAGCAGGAGGAGGAGCCCACGTGGCATTTCTGGAATGAAATATACTTATTGAAGTGAAAAGCTTGGTGGTGGATTACTCGGGGACTGCACACAGCTGGAGACCCAGTGAAATGAACCCAGGGCTGCAGAAATTACCCAGAATGCTCCAAAGAACCAATCAAAGGGTAAAGAGACACTAGGAGACTCGGAGACTAAAATGGAAGTGTCTAATTAGAGTCCTAGAGAGAACAGAGAGAGTGTGGGAGAGGCAGGATGTAAGGAGAGAACTTACAGGAAGCGCAAATCCACAGATGCAGGTAGTACAACGCCCAGCAGAGTAAGATTGTCACCCAGACATTGTGGAGCATCACTGTCAGCAGCAGAAACCACACCAAGATTTTAAAAACAACCAGAAGGCCGGGTGCATGCCTACAATCCCAGCACTTTGGGAGACTGAGGTGAGAGGATTGACTGAGCCCATGGGTTCGAGACCAGCCCCGGTAACTTGGCAAGACCTTATCTCTACAATAAATCAAAAAGTTAGCCAGGCGTGCTGGCGCATGCCTGTAGTTCTAGCTACTTGGAAGGCTGAAGAAGGATCACCTGAGCCCAGCAAGTTGAGGCTGTGGTAGCCGTGAGCATGCCACTGCCCTCCAGCCTGGGCAACAGAGTGAGGTTCCAACTCAAATAAATAAATAAAAGCAACCAGAGAAAAAAGATCACTCACAAAGGAAGAACAGTTATATTGACAGCAGAGTTTAACAACACAAGTACAGCCAGAAACAGTGGAAGATCTGTAACATGATGAGATAAAATAACTGTCAGTCCAGAACTGTACAACTTTTCTTTTCTTTCTTTCTTTTTTTTTTGAGTTGGTGTCTCACTCCGTCACCTAGGCTGGAATGCAGTGGCAGGCTCACAGCCACTCCAGCATCGAACTGCTGGACTCTGGTGATCCTTCTGCCTCAGCCTTCCGAGTAGCCAGAACAACAGATGTGCGCTACCATGCCCGGCTATTTTTAAATTTTATTTTATTGTAGAAACGAGGTCTCGCCAAGTTCCCCAGGCTGGTCTCGAACCTGCAGACTCAGGCAATCCACTAGCCTTGGCCTTAAAAAGTGCTGGGATTACAGGCTGAGCCCCGAGCCCAGCCCAGAACTACTTTTCAAAAGGAAGGGCTAAATAAACATACTTGCAGATTAGCAAAAACTGGCCATACCAAGGAGACTTCTAAAGTGTATACTTTTTTTTCACCCTCAAGAGACAGAGTCTCTCTATGTTGTCCAGGCTGGACTTGAACTCCTGGACTCAAGGGATCCTCCTGCCTTGGTCTCCTGAGTAGTTGGGGCTACTAAAATGTATTCTTTAGCAAGAAGGAAAATTATCCCAAAAGAATATAGTTGGCTCTTCATATCTGCAGGCTTCACATCAATGGACTCAACCAACCACAGATTGAAAAAAATTTTTTTAAATCAAAACAGTAAGAAATAATACAAATTTAAAAGCAATATGCTATAACAACTATTTGCATAGTGTTTACATTACATTAGATATTATAAGTGATCTAGAGATGATTTAAAGTATATGGGAGGATGTACATAGGTTATGTACATATACCATACCATTTTACATCGGGATTTTGAGCATCCACAGATTTTGGTATACTCTGGGATCCTGAAACCCCAGGATACTAAGGGACAATTGTAGTCCAATATGCATATGTGAATCCAAGTGAACATTGTATAAAATAATGATAATGAAAAGAACAAACCTAAAATACTGGACAACAATTGCCCGTAAATTGGAAAGAAGATTATCAGAGTTATAGACTCTGAAAAGTAAAACAAAAACAACAATATAATTACATATAGAGAAAGTGAGACAAAAGCAGATTTAGCAACATGTTAACAATTGGGGGACCCAGGTGGAACATAAATACTCTTATTGTAAATTTTCTACATGTTTGAAATTTTTCAAAATGAAAACATCAAATATA